GACGCCCCCCCCCCCCTCTCCCCAAGACACCCCCGGCCCAGCTGTGCTGCTCTGGAGCTCCCTGGGCACTGTCGCGGAGCTGCGCGGGCAGGGCCCGTACCTGACGCCTCCTCGTCAAAGCAGGCGAAGGCGTTTCGGATGACGTCCTCGGGGTCGGTGCCGTTCAGCTTCTCCCCAAACATGGTGAGGAACATGGTGAAGTTGATGGGCCCTGGCGCCTCGCTCATCATGCCCTCCAGGTACTCGTCGGTGGGGTTCTTCCCTGTCGGACAGAGGCAAGGGGGTGGGTGCAGGGCCCTGTTCCCCCCCAGCACCCATCCCCAAGGCCACCCCATGCAGTCAGCCGGCTGGGGTTTTTTTTTTCATTGCAAATGAGTTTGCCGGTGCATGTTCCCCCACCCCAGAACAAGGGAGGGGGTTCCCGCAGTGCCTGGTGCTCCACCCTCAGCACTTCTCCCCAAGCTTGAATCTGTGCCGGAGGCCACCTGGAACCAAGCTCTGCCAGGCTCAGCCTCAGGGGAGATGCAGGAATTCAGCTGGGGGTTACTGGGAACTAAACCCACAGCTTTTCCCCATTCCTCTGGCAGCTGACACCGAGGAGAGGGGCAGCAGCGTCCCCACACGAGCCTCGTGCTGCCGATGTCCCGAGCACTGCTCCTACCACGGATGCGCATGGGATGGTTTAACCTGCTCTGGTGAGGTCCGCATGCCCCCAACGCCCGGCCCCTCTCTGCGGCTCACGGGGAGGAGGGAGGTCCCTCCCAGCGCCAGGCAGGACCTCCAGAACAGGTTTGGCTGCCAGGTCAATCATTGACAGACCTCCCGAAGTGCTGAGGAGGTACCGCAGGGAGCGGGAGGTGGGAGCTGTGGCCTGCAGCGGAGAACGGGCTCTGGCTGGGGAGCGCGGCCAGACCTGCAAGTCTCAACCGGCCAAGGTATGCTGGTGCAGGGACCGGCCTCTTCTCTCACCCAGGCTGAGAGCAATGGGACGGCTTTGTCCAGCGTGGGATGACTCCAGGCGAGATGCTGGGGTGAGACTACTCAACTACTCAATGGCTGCGGCTGGTGGTTGCTCCTAGGGCAGAGCTTCTCCAACCCCAAGGGTCTCTTCTTCCCTTCTAGTGAGCATGGCTGTAAGAGCACCACACCAAGCTGCTGCCCTTGGGTGCCTCCACACACACCTTCTACGGTCAACTGATGCCAGCAGAGAAATACCCCCCCCCGATTTTGCAGCTGGCCCGAAGCAGGAGGGCTGTGCCTCAAAGGCATTCCACCAAAGCCGGTCTTCAACACTGTGTGCGAGGCACTAGGTCACCCAGCAGCTCTCCTCACTGGCCGAGGAGGCACTGAGGGCAGAGGGGCCGAGGGACACATGGAGGCATGAGGGAAGGATCTCCTCACCGAGGGAAGCCAGCATGTCATGCAGATCTTCCTTGTCAATGAAGCCGTCGCGGTTCTGGTCGATCATGTTGAAGGCTTCCTTGAACTCCTGGATCTGCGACTGGTCGAACATGGCGAAGACATTGGAGGTGGCGCGCTGGGGGCGCTTCTTGGTGGTCTTGGCTTTGGCACGTTTGCTGGACATCTTGGCGGCTGGAGTGGTACCTAGAGGCAGGGCAGCAGACAGGACCATCAGGAGGATGCAAAGGGGACAGGCAGAGCCCGGGGGGCTGGAGCAGAGGCAGGGACACACAACTCCTGGCACCTCCAGCCCCGTGCCTCAGTTTCCCCAGCTGTCACACATTTGGCAACAGTGGACAAGGCGGCTGCAGGGTCAGACACGGGGTCAGGCGAGACTCAGGAGTCCCCTGGGAAGTCACAAGAGCAGCTCACAGGTACCCCGTCCCCAGGGCTGCCCCCACAGGCCGCAGGCAGGGCTCCCTGCCGGCACCCTCGGTCCCCAAATCCCCAAACCTCCTTGCTGCCTGTCCCCTTTGCATCCCAGGCATAGGGCGAGATGCCAAAGCCAGCACCCCACATCCCCCCACTGCTGTCAGTCCTGGGGGGGCCATGGGGACGGGTGCCTCAGCATTTTGGGCAGAGCTTAGCCGTGCCCCCCCTCAGGCCTCCCCTCCACTTCTGGCAGGGCTCTCCCCAGCTCAGCTCCCGGGGTGATGGGTCTCCCCTGGCATCCTCCATTTTTCTGCGCAAAAGCAGCCCCCAGCCACGTCCCCAGGAGGTGGGCTTGGCACAGCACCCAGCACCCAGCGGGAAGGGGTTATCTGCTCCGGGCACATTCCTCACATACCACCGCCTCCCTTCCCCCTCCATCCTGCGCTCCATCCATCCCACCTCCTGCAGGGTCCGGCCGGCCAAAGGCCGCTCATCGCCTCCCTCCCCGCCCC